TCTGGAGGCTGCGAGAGCCTTGATGGGAGGAAGAGTCAGGTTTCCACCTGGGATAATGGTTGACTGAGGCTGGGATAGCCCATCTTTGGTTCTGGACCGGGTAGCGTTCCCCGTGTTAACTGGTTCATATCCTGGGGTTGTCCTGGACACACAGTCTCAGTTTTGCTTTTCCAAGATGCTTGTGCCCAAGAGGGCTCTGGGTGTTTCCCCTGAAAGGCACCTATGCACACACGCACGTGCCCTTAGCACAAGTGGCTGCAGACGAGGGCATAAGCGCCCCTTCCTCCTCTACGCCCAGCCTCCCTCAGATATACATCCCATCAACGACCCCTCCTCGTAGAACAGAACTGGAACACTCCCAGGTGGCGTTCACACAACCCGTTTAATACACAACCTGTATTTGCACAGCACGCTAAGCTTGATTAAGCTAATCTTGGCCTGATCTTCTGTTGGGGGAGCCCAGCCTGCTTCGTGAGTTTATGGCAAACCAGAGAGGGGTTTATTTCAATAATGGATGAAACAGTTTGAAGCCAGCCAGTTGGGGTCTTCATGATCTCTCTCACAAGAAAAGATCGGGAATCGCCACCAGGAGCCTCTCGAAACAGATTTGGCCAGGAGGGAAAGTGCTAGATAGGAAGGCAGGAGACCCTAGTTTGCCAACGGCCACCCTGGAAGTTTGGAGCCAAGACCTCAAGCCGACTCTCAGTTCACGTTTTTCCCTGCTGAACAGTCCCAGTTCCACGAATGTCCAAAGGAAGTCAAAATGACAATGGCCATCAGCTTGAAACAGCCCTCAGACGGTTTCAGTACTCTGAGCTCTGGGGATTTCTCAACCCTGCTTGGGTTTTTCACACCAGTGCTTCCAAAAGCCAGAAGGTGAGGATACTGGATGGCTGGCAGAGATCTGGGATTAGCCTTCTGCTCAACTGATGACTTTGCTCAGCCTCAGGACAGTTACAATCAGCAGACGTGAGGCTTCTCGGCTGTCCCTGGTTCTCTCCAGGGTTTCTTCCCTGGAGCACACGAGGGAGGGGAGGAGGAGGAAGAGGAAGAGGAGCAACAAGGCAGGGCGTATAAAACTGACCCCTTGTGAAATGCAGCCTTCGCAACTTCCTCGCTCTTCTCCCCAAGCCAGCTCTCTCCTCCCTTCTCTACACAGGCAGGGCTGGTCCCAAAGACGTGCCAGTTTCCGGCCTGCACAGCCAGAATCAGTCAAGGGCGAACCTCCTGGCCTGGCTCTGCTCTTCCCTCGCATTTCCCTAAGGAGAGAACTTCCCAGCTCTGCCAGGACCCTCCTCCCTCCCAGCTGTTCATCTAACCATCAGCCAGTCGCCCAACATCAAGCTAGCAGGAACCAGGCCTGTTTCCCATTTCAGGGCCTGGAATATTTAGGAGTATTTAGAAGGAGCCAGAGGTTACGGGTTTTAGCTGCTTTGCGAAGTTTCTGAAAGAATGTTTAAAGGGATTTCTTTTTGATTTTACAGTTAAAACAATACAACATACCTGTGGCTCTCATTTGGGAGAGGAGGACATTATTTGCCATATAAAATCAGACCTCAGAGCATACCAAAGCAAAATGCTGTGTGTGGGAAACAGGTAGATGCACTGACAACCCAGAAAAAAATTCCAACAATTGCAGAGGTGGTCCCCTTGTAAATCCAACAGAACCGCTGCAAATATTTGCAATCTTCTGAGTGTCCGTGAACTCTTAATCGGGCAAGCCGGTTAAAAGCCAGGAGAGTGAGGGCGGGCTGGGGGGTGGCAGGAGGCACCTGTGGCTGCTGTATCTGGTCAGGGCAATTCAGCCTGCCCCAGAGGGTCTGAGGGGGTCAGGTTGCAACTGTCTTCCCCACATTTGCAGAAAAGACCCCCCGTCTTTTAACCAGGCCCACTTTGTTCAAGAAGCAAGCAGCCGAACTGGCAATGGGGGAGTTGGCAGGTTACTCAAAGGTGGAGGGTCTTTGGAAGGGTCAGCCCGGGCACCCAGAGGACGCGCTCGCCAGATGCTCTGGGCAACCTGCAACAGGGTGTGTGGGTGGGGCTGAAGCAGGCAGGCGCTTCCCAGCAAAGAGGAGCAGAGCTAACTCTCAGCTCTTCTGCCCGCAGAATATTTCTGCTTCCACTTTAGCAGCCAAATTTGGTCAAAACAGCCTGCCAACAGGTGCAACAGTCTTCACAGCAGATGTTTCCATTTTCAAATGCTCAAAATCCCCATCTGAAAAGAATGAATCAATTCACGATTCCTCTGCTTGTTCAACTGTGCAAGAGCCTTCTCAGAGTGCCCTGCAAGGCTCTCGGCCTTCCTCAGGTCTATTTATACTTGAAACAGCTCCCTGGTCCTGCAGGCCATGGGAGAACAGGCTTTCTGCAGAGGCTTTGCCCCCCACCAGGGCAAGGCCCCCTCAGAATGATGGCTCGGGCCAAAGGACCCACTCCTTCTTCCTCACTGCAGTTTTCAGTCCAACCATGGCATGAGTGACCGCGCCTGGTGCCTCCCATCCAAGAACGGGTGCAACTGGCGCACAAGATGGATTTGTGCCAAGGCCCTCCTGGCTCTTCAAACAGGAGCCTCTCCAAGTGCAAGAGGACCCCAAGCTGCACCCCAGCTCTGTCTGAGGGATGCCACCCCATCCAGAAGTGAAGATGGAAAGCCTCTGATGATATCTCACCCCATGTCAATGGACAACTTCCCTCAGTGGCTTCATGCAGATGTTCAACTGGAGCCTCAGGCTTGATCTCTCCCCCTCCAACTCCAGCATTTTTATCCTGGGCTACAGGTAGGACTCCAATGTGTTCACTTGCCTGAAACTGCGATGTGCTTTTTGCTCAACCTTCCAGAATTTGGCCCTCAAATCCTGGATCAGCTGCTGAATGTGCAACTGTGGAGGTATCTGAAACCAAGTTCCAGCTGATGGTGCAGCCCTGTTTGAACCACTTGCTTGCACAAGAGGAGACCAAGGACTCTGTGCTCCATTCCAGCAGGAGGGACCCCATTCAGCTGAACTAGCTGGGAGCTAGGCCAAGCTCAAGCAGACACTCCCAAATGTATGCATTCCTGGAAAACTGAAGTCTGCTGCACGATGGCTTACCTACATACCCCTAAGACCTATCATTATAGGCCTAGAAACTAGAAACTTGCTTTCTTGCTTAACGAAGTCTCAGATTTCTTAGGAATTCTGAAAGCAGTATCATTTCCCCCCACCCCCACCCCTGCATTTCCGTGTAAATATACACCCTCTGCTCCAGGCGTGTAGCTTATGAAAATAAACATAATTCTCTCTTTAAAAAAAATCCAGGGATCTCAGAGTGCTCTGGAGACAGAATGACTCCGTGTTTCAGTTTGCACAACACGCTCAGCTTGGCTAACATGATGTGGTGGGTTTGTGGTTCAGGGAACCCAGTCTGTGCATGCTCTGTAGGTGCACCCTGGCATGCAGAAATCAAGAAATAAATGTAAAGAGAAAACATTTACAGTGTTACTGCAGAGCTGGAAGCAGCAAAGCCACAGCAATGAAGCTTGATCACTCTGCAGTCAGCCAGTAAACACCTTAATTTTTCTCCTGACTCAACGCTCCCTTCTAGACGCACCACTTGGAATTGCCGAGTCATTAAAATGCTTCTTCTGAAACAATTCCTGGCAAGTTCAAACTTGGAGTCAGACAGAAGAGGGGTGAGAGTGGGCTAAGTTGAGGAAGATGAGAAAACACAAGCAGAGAAGCCCAGAGCCACAATGCTCAACTTCTTTTCCTCCCTCATCTCACGGTGAGCCCTGCGCAGCTTAATACATATTTATGTCTACAGCCCCCCCGGAGAAATTAAAAAGTCTGCAATGCACCAACTTTAATATCACCACTGTCGTTAGTGAAAGAGCTCATGCCAAAATGCTGCGCAGTAAAATTGGGGGCTCGGCGGTCGAAAGAGAGAACTCACAATCTTTGCCAAGCAGCAGCATTTCCTTGCACCCCAAAGGGTAAAGGGGCAGAATGCCAAGCCCTTTTCCACCCAGAAAGGACGCGCACCCGGGCGTGCAGGCAGCCAACCCACCCCCCGGCCACACGCTCTCCCTTCTGCCAGCTCCCAAAGTGAGCAGCACCAGAGGCAGGAAAGGCTTCAGGGAAGACCGGGGAGGCCCCTCCCTTTTCGGAACAGCCTGGAAGAAATGTGGCTGCCGGTGGGCCTTGCGGGATCTGGCCCGCTTAGCCCCCTTGTTTCAAACAAGCCAAAGCAGGGGGAGGAAGGAAAATCACAGCGGCTGAGGATGGGCAAAGGCTGCCCCACAGGGGCAGCAGACAGGCCTGGCAAGAGGGGTCCTCAGCACCCTCTCCGGAACGCAGGACACTTTCTTTGACTTACGGCTCCAGATAACAATGCCATGCTTTCATTTCAAACTGCACCCCCCACCCCCAGCAAAGATTTCTTCCCTTCATAACAAAGAAGCAGTTTTGGTAGGTAGATAACGAAAAAAGGACTGGCCTGAACTGTGACAGGAAATTTGTTCACTCACTCAAATTTGACCCAAACAACCCAACTTTCTGTGATTTTTCCATCGCGAAGGGGGAGGCAGCACAACAGCGTTAAGAGGATCCTCTCCCGTGGCAGCAGGGCCATCTTGCCCAGCGGTCTCTCTGCAGGACACCGAGGCCTTGCCACGTCCAAGCGTCAGCAGCATTAGGCAAGAAGAGGAGTTCTGCTCTGTCTGGACCAGGACCAAGGCCCAACAAGCACTAAACATAGCCTGCAGATGGCTCTTCAGAAGCCACCTTGGTGCCAGCTTTGCCAACGGCTGCATAAATGGCAGAAACTGGGAAGGAGACGCCGACGCCCCAAAAGGCTTCTGGGCAAGTTGCAAAAGGGTTTGGGGGCCACCCCAGGAAGCTTCACCTCACCTTTCCAGCACCTCTTCAGTGGCATTTTTCTCTGGGGGAAGGGGGGCTTCAGACAATGGAAACCAGCCACTTCACCCACTTGCAAAGCTGCCCCCCCGCCCAACCCCCACTTACTTTTCCGAAGTCCCGCACGTCGAAGAGGTCGAAGGGGTCAAAGAGCTCGCTGTTCCGGAGGCCGAACTTGTCGTGACACACTTTGAGGAACGTCCGGATGTTCTTCAGGCAGAGAAACTGCAAGAAAAGGGGAACCCCTTGAGAGCCTTTCCACAGGGACCCACAAGAGTGGGGGCTGGAATGAGAAATCCCGACTCCCTCTGCGCAGTTCGTACCTCCATCCCAAACCCGAGGGCCAAGCGGCGGTGGGGGGCCCGATCCTGAGCTCCCTCTGCTTTGGGGCCCCTCTTTTGAGTCTGGCTTCGCTCTCCAAGTCCCCGCAGAGCAGCGTGCAGCCACTCCTGCCGAGAGCGAGCCCCGTCCCTCAGTCCCCACCCACACAACAATTAGCCCCTGGGGGCTTGCACAATACGCTACTGTGAACAAGCCTCGCGAACCAGCCACGTTCACACAGCACCCTCAGCCTTCAGGACTCACCTAAGTCGAAACGAACCAGCTTAGCAGGCTGGTTTTTAGCAGACCCGGTGAAGTGTGTTGTGCAAACGCAACCCACCACTTGCTGAAAGGAGAGCGAAAGACTGGCCCCGAGGAGGGCAGGGAGACCACCATCCCGGCCCCCCCGACACTCGGACTTGGGGTCAGGATGCCAGGAAGCGAGGGCTGTGTGGTGCTGCTCTCTCGGCTAAAGGGCCACTGGAAGGGAGGCGCCACCACTTTGAAGGAAGATGAACCGAGCGCATCTCCGCAGCGCCCGGTTCCAGCGGAGGCGCGAGGCCATCGGCCCTGCACGCTTTGCTGACCTGAACTCCTGGACCTTCAAGGACTGGCCTGAGCGGCATGTGATTCACAAGGGCCTGGGCTGGAAAGAAGGCCAGCAGCAAGGATGGCCAACGACTGGCCAGGGAGGGGAGGGCAGGCGGGGGGGAGGGAGGGGGGAGTCTGTCTCTCGGCAACCTCCCCATTTTTGCATGTGTGTACACACACACACACGTGCACACACACATGTGCCATTCTGCTCGAGTCGCAGGAAAGGCAAGCCAGGTCCTGAGGACTAGTCACCTCCCAGCCTTTGGTGGCAGCAGCAAGAGATGACGGAAGAGGCAACCCGCGAAGGCGGCACAGAGGCTGGGCACCGGGCCGGTCTGCTTAGGCTGCAAGCCGGCTTCTCCCTGGCCAGTCAGAAACCCTTAGCCTCCCACTTCCAAAATTCAGGGCTCGGCCCATCAACATAATGAAAGGCCTGGAGCTGAGAGGGGCTCTGCCTGGATCTCTGCCACCCCCTGCGACACTTCCCAGCCAAGATGGCTGTCGTAGTTAGCAGCAAAGTTCACCAGGAGGCTCCCTGAACTGGGACCAGGAAGTCCCAGGGATGGGGGGCACGTCACACAGCCCCCCCTGCAAACCGTGTGTCCTGCAGCTGCCCTTCATGCCATATGTGCCTATTCCAGGGTCAGGGCGAGCCTGAGCCACCAGGCACAAGAAGGGCAACTCTTCCCTCCACCCCTTTGTTTAGAGCAGGGCTTCTCCCCAGACCCTCAGGGGTCCACAAAATCAAAATTATCTGCCAGCCTATGTTGAAAAACAATACATTAAAATCTCATCAAACAATCGTGAGACGTGGCAGCGGCAGTGGCAGCAAATTTTTAAACACAGTAAATATTACCCATACAAACAAAAGCTCTTCTGGGGTCCTTAAAAGCAGGGAGGGGTCCTCAGAGAAAAACATTTAAGAAACACTGATTTAGGGAAACTCGCTCTCCCCTCGTGTGGCTATGATGGGTTAAAAAACTTCCCCCTTTGTGCTTTTGAAAAAGCTCTGTGTGAACGTTCAGCGCAAAGGGGTGGAGGGCAGGGCAGGGCAGGGCTGGGTTTCTTCTGCCTGCCAAGGGGCTCAATCTAGAGAGCTGGGGGTTCGGGGTTGTGGCGACAACAGGCCTTCGGCCGCGTGACGAGCAGGGCAGCCGCAGAAGCCCCACCGGCCTGCGCACCTCCCCTCCCAGCAACCGTACTGGCATTCTGAGTCGTCCGCGAAGGCCGGGGGCTCCAGCAGCCCCTTCTCAAACGTTTTCAAAACTGCATTTCCAGCCATAAGCGGCAAGCGCACCTGCGTGTGTGAAGCACATGGTGCGCCCTCCCCGTTTTGGGGCAGAGGCTCGTCCTGTAGGCCTTTCCGCAGCCTTATCGAACTGTGGGCTCCTCAGGCTGCACTTGGACCCCGAAGTCGTCTTCATCTGTGTTCCCCACCTTTATTTTCTTCTTCAAAAAGAAGAGTCATAAAGGGGAGGGAAGTGTGCTCTGCTGCCTCTGCTGCCCGGCTCTCCTAACGTTCGTTCTCTTGCATCGAAGGAGGCTTTTATTTTATTTTATTCTATGATTTTATTTTCAGGACTTATGTGCCCGCCTATCTTATCCGACGACTCCAGGCAGCTCACAACAATCCATAAAGCAGAGTTCAAGACACCCTTCCTCCCCCAGCGCCAGACCAGACATCCCCAGAGCTCAACCCCCCAACGTTTGGGGGAAGAGCTGGGTCTGCACAGCCCTCGGAAGGCTAAGGGGTGGGGCCGAGAGATGCTGCCCCCAAGTCGCAGGCCAGGGGCCGAGGGGCCTGCCGCCGAGGGGCCTGCCCACGGACTGCCTCCTCCGCACGGGCAGAAGAACGGCTGAGGCAGCCCTGCTGAAGGAAGCCCGACCGGCCGAGGTGAAAGCCTCCCCCCCCTTCCGAACTGTTTGTAAAACAATGAAGCCTTCTGCAGCAGAACTGCATCGCGTTACCCAAGTCTGCAGCCAACCGAAGACCCCAAACGGCCCTCGATGCCAAGCCAGCCGAGGGGAGGCTCAATGCCAAAGTCTGAGTCTGCCAACACTGTGCCAAGTTCAGCTCCTCTCCCCCTGCTTCTGCCTGGTGCTTGGCTTGGCTGGCATCGAGCCCACAGATTCTGCAGGCAAGAGGCAAACCCGACCCCCCCACCCTCCGCAACGTTCCAGCCGCAGTCATCCCATCCAGCTCTGCTCCAGTCAAACGCAGCGTTTGGCTGCCTGGAACGGCAGCTGTTGCTTCCAAGCGCCCCTTCCTCTGCCCGGCAAAGTTCAGAGGAGGGCAGAGATCTGGGAAACAAGTCTTAGCAGGGGAGGTCAGGGCGTCTTTAGCCAGAGAAGGCGGGGACAGGAAGGGGAACAGCTGCTGTTGTGGACATATACATTTTGTCATTGCAGCATATTCTCCAGTTTTAGTCTCTCGGTCTGATATCATAGCAAGGTACAGTGGTACCTCGGTTCACAAACTTAATTCGTTCCGTCTGGTCGCGACCCGAATCAAATTTTCCCATAAGGTTCAATGTAAATACAGTTAATCGGTTCTGACCCCTCTGAATTTGGTCGCCAACCAATT